TTTAAACCCTTTACAAAGCTCAGGTCTGAACATGGATGGAGTACTACAGTCACCTTTGGGATGTTTCTGCCAAATACCAACTTGCTCCACTGGTTTCGTTGGAACACAGAGCCAAGAGAATTATAGATGATGATATATTGGTGGAAGCTAAGCTTCACACCTTGAGTCACCGATACAAGGTTGCCTGCCTTTCTGTTTTTTACAGGCTGTATTTCGGGGAGTGTGCTCAGGAGTTACTCAAACTTATTCCACCTTCCCCCTTCTACCATCGGAAGTCCAGACGCACTGCAGGTTACCATCCTTACTTGGTTGCTGTTCCTCTCCTTCGAACCAAACGCTTCTCAAATACTTTTATAACGCGCACAGCGAAGGAGTGGAATTGCCTGCTTCCGTCTGTGTTTCCAAGCACATATTTTTGTTTTTGATTTTTTTGGGAAACTTACAGCAGTTTCTGCATATTGTTTAAGGCCAATTAATAGTTTCCGCAGATTATAACAGTAATAATTAAAAAAGTCGGCATACATAGTTTAAGTACTCGGTTCAAATAAATATTTATATAATGAATTCAAGCTGTCACAAAACAACTCCTGGCCTGATGAGTACTGGTTAAAAGTGCGAGCTCTAATTGTTAAAGAATTTTGACGATAATTAGTTGAGAGTAACGGCACATAAAGAGTTTTAGTGTGTCTAGTGATTTTGTCAGGGGTACTAATAAATATTTTGCTTAATAATTCAGTGCAGTCGATGCTGCTATTAACAGTCTTCAATAGAAGGGAGATGTCCGCCATTTCTCTGCGTTTGTGAAGTAGTAAAGTGTGAAACGCTTTACACCTACTAAAGTGACCATGGTGAAGTTTCCTACATTTAAATTTAATATTTATGACGTAGCAACCGTTTTTGTATAGCCTCGATCCTCGAAATGTGTGGTACTGAGGGTTTCATACTTGCGAGGCATATTCGAGGTGGCTGCGCACGAAAGCACAATACAGCATTTTTATGATGTACGCAATACAACACAATTCAATGAATTTATCTATTGAATTGTGTAATAATGCATAAAATTTGTCAATGCATTGAACGAGCGATAACATTGAAAAAAGGGTTTTAAAGTTAATTTTATTAATATTTTCCGCAATAGACCTGTAATCCCCTTTGTGGAACAGATGTATAGATCGTGCTGCGGTCTTAAGAGGTCTCTGCTCCAGTGATAATATCACTAGGAGTGCAGAGTGATAAAGATCGGCCGGTACTAACGGGTCGACGCGTTTGACTTAAATAAGATCGTAGTTACTAGATATTAAATCAAGTATTCTGTTAAGCTCATTATAAAATTGATACAAATTATATAAATGTGTTATCAAAAAATATGTTCTGGTAAGACCCAATAATATTTAAGGGAACCAAGTGACGTTCGTCTGAAGAGAATGACCAGACTATATTAGGCATGTTAAAGTTACCCACTAGTAAATAAAAATAATTTGGATTGCTTAAATTAATATCACTGAATCTATTTGATATGCATACATAAATGCAACATATATGTAGCTTGCATACATTTCTACACTGTGGGTTCCGTAAGCTGATATATACCCATAGATCTTCAGCTGACGAATTGCACTCGGCACGAGCCTCCACCGCAAGTTCACGCTTAATCGCAATAAGTACACCACCACCCAACGATTTCCGCGTTACAGAGTAGTTCCTATCTCGTCTATATGTCGTGGCCATATCGTAGATTTGCTCATTTCATGAAATGCTCGAGTATTTCATGAAATGGTCGCATTTCATGAAATGTCTCACTATCTATTGGCCACATCATGATGTGATTTGGGCAGATCAATAATGAGAAATCGTTTCACGATATGGCCAACTAAACGCGCGGCTTCTTCATGAAATGGCCAAAATTATTTGTTCATATCGTAAAGTTGTTAAATTAGTTACCGGTAGAGGCGCTGCAAGCGCTTTGTTTATATTTGTAAATGGCGGCCGCTGCATAATTTGTTAGAAATGAGGAAGAAAGTGATAACAAAAGGGTTTTCGACGAAAAGGTTCTCGAGTACTAATCAAGTTAAGCAAAAACTGAGTAAAATGTAAAAAAACCGTGGGTTGGATCGTATTACACAGGTTAGTACTTTACTCTTAAATTACATCATTATTCACTTATTTTATTAAAATACTTTATGCCAGTTAACGTATTGTGTTTCTATTAGATTAATATTATTCTTCGTTTGTGAATTATGACATAATAAAGGTAATGTTTTTTTCTTTTTTAGGTTATGAAACAAATTAAGGAGAGTAGGGTGACTACGCAAAAGAAATCCATGGACTATTACTGGCTGCCAAAATATGACATTTTGGAAACTGCGGATGAAGTAAAAAGTGCGGATGAGAATCAAGCCTACTATTGCAATATGTACCAAAGTACCTTTTTATTTCCAAATATTTGTTAGTTTTCTAAATGAAAATGACGTTTACATTTGTGTAAACAAGACACGCTGATGTTTAATTTAGAAAAAAATCTTTGATTTGTGTATATTCTTAAAAAATATGATTCAATTTGTTTGTGTCATTCGGACTCAAATGACAATAAACAAGTTCTTAACATATTCTGGATTTTTATTAAATATTCTATGGACACCCTAATTATACGATCCGGCCAAATGTGGATGACAAAATCGTTAAACGTTGACGATTTAATGATCTGCTCAAATTAAGTTGGCCACATCATGAAATGCGACCATTTCATGAAATACTCGAGCATTTCATGAAATGAGCAAATCTACGATATGACCACGACATATATACTATGTATCTACTGTCGAATAATTCGCTATCAAAAATACTGTCCCTCAGCCATGTCTCGGTCAGTGCCTCCACTCCACACACTCCACATTGACTTTCGTGCGCAGTCCCCTCACATTCTGATAGAAAACACTAAGTGACGCCATTATTAACCGTTGTTCTAGTTAAATAAGCAAATAAGTGAGCAGTACCACGAATGAAATTTAAAATTCAAAGATAATATAAATGTTTTGTTTTAATTGGATAGTCTAAAAGAGATAAAATTACTATAGTTTCACAATTAGGGCCACTCGCAACGTACTTTTTTTAAACTCAACAGCCAATCAAGCACCGAAAAGATAAAAAATAGGTTAAGCAAAAAAACAACAAGAATAAATTGATGCAATGCCAAGTGATAAGAAGTGCGCGTATGAAGCGGGTAGCGGGCGAAGCGTGCAGTGAAGCTGGATGAAGCCAAGCTGTGCGCCGCGTCGCATGCAGTCACGCGGGCTGGAACGTGATCGACGATGGGGTCCGCGCCACCGGCTCTCAAAATTTTCGCCTGCGTAATACTCTTGATATATTGCTCCAACAAACTTGAGAAAATTATTCCATCATGTGTAGGTATGTCTCGGAACTCATAATAATAAACGGAGAAGAAGTGTTCTTCCTGTAAAAAATCTTGCAACTTCGGAACCATACGTATTTATAGCTACAGTTGCATTTTATTGTCCAACGTTAAGTGATCGTTAACGTAAACTTTTGAGTCACTTGCGAATCCCAAGTCAGTTGCCGAGAAATTACATTTGGCTCTAGCACAGGATGTTCTTTTAAATATCTGTTGTTAAAAGATGCAATGATATTCTTACTTTTGCTGTTGTTACGGCTTGGCACTCTAAATAATTAATTAATGTTGCTTTTTTTTCGATTTTGCCATCAACGGTTGATCCTACCTTGGCTATTATTTCATATAGGTTTACATTCATATAGGATCCATTTGGTCTTTCTGCTTACGAGTAAGTGAGCTTTCTAGATATTATATACGTTGATGCTACACACACGAGTCCTCTTTGCTACTTTCAACATTCTTCAATCTTTTGTCTATATCAGATATTTGAGCAGTACAAAATTTTAAACAGAATTTTGGGTGAACTCCAGAGATAGTTTTAGTACCTGGATTTCGTCCTTTATGGTCTTGGGTAATACCCGATAGCGCCGCCATATTCTGTGACAGCTTTTTGATTTCAAGCATGATACTCTCTAAGCTGACGGGAGTGGGAGAGAATGGAGCTGGCTGCACATGGAGTTTGGAGTTGTTGCTGTTGGTTTTGCATGTTGGGTATTTCCAATTTCCTTTCCGGTCCCCAAGTTTCCGGTAACCTCTTTCTGTTATACCTGCGCAATCAAAGTCGAAGTCCTTGCTGCAAATGCTGCAACGTGCTACGTCCCGGGCTTTGGAATTACAACCAGCACATGTTAACATTTTAGCTATTGATGTTTGAGAAACACCGTAGTTCCCACCGGGATCTACGGTGTAGGGCTAGTTTGCTCACGGGTTGGAAGAGCTTACCCATGAAGAAATAATAAAATCAGTAAACACAATAAATGATGAACTATGGGTCGCCCGATAGCTTTGTCTACTTTCACACTTATCTGCTCAGTTACAATTTACAGTTGGTTAGAGGGCACTCAGTTATGTGGTCGTTTCCCAATTAGGAACCCATACCATCACTGCTGGCAATGAGGACACACCCCGGAGTTTTTGTAGATAGGCACGCGTGAGTCCCACATAACTCCGGCGCCTTGCACAGCGGCAGCGGCGGTCTCAATCGACAGCGGTATATATCATGAATTTCACTGGGTAAAAAAAGGGAGAGCACTCAGTCCATACTCAGTGAACCTAGCTATATAGTCTATTCTAAAATCTGTAGTAGTTGCCTTCTAAATGGTGCATCCATACATGCCGCCGGCGTTGCACCAGTTTTTATTCTGTCTTGCCGTTGACTTTGCAGCAGTTTTGCCGCCGGCCTGCAGCTACGGCTGCAAGTTCTCAGTTGTGTTTCGACTTTCATTAAAGTTTGTGGTATACGTAGGATTGGAATATGTTGGACTACGTATTTTGCATATTTGTTGTAAGTTATTATTCACAAAAAAAAATCAGGCAAAGGAACTGATAATGACAAACAAAAGCCGCGCGTGCCAGGTTTAATAATGCTTACTTGAGCAGTTTGTCCTCGGATTGTCAGAGGGGCAGGAGTAAGCTGCGTATGTCACGTTGAACCCCTCCATAGCATACGCGTCGTCGGAGAAGAAGTGTAGTAAGGCGCTCCCCGACCGCGCCACCACTTGCCGAGTCCACCCGGATTCGCCTGGCTCCAAGACACCACTGCAAATAATCAAACATGCGATATAAGACCACCTCCCTTCCTGATCATGTTCTTTGTCGAAGTTGTGTACGCAAACTTTGGAATTAGCATCAGCCTATAAATTTCGCCACAGCTGGGACACAGACCTTCCGCATGGATAGAATAGGGAGATGGGGCCACGATTACCCACCACACGGACTCAGTGTGTATTGGTGAATGCCAACGTTTACAGCCGGGATCAATGGCTTAAAGTACCTTCCGAAACACCGAAGTGAATTTTTTTGGTTACTAATCCTGCCGGTGCGGGTGCAGTATTGATAAAATTGTTATTCAGAAATAGTGAAAGGATACTACGAGGATATAATAGCGATAATATTAAAATTGTCCCATCTAATGAGACTTTACTTTCTGTGAAGTAAGAAACTGGCTCAATCTATGAGCTGCGAGTCATGTTAATACATACACTGACGTAACAATCGTCGTTTCGTGAAGATTATTAGACGAAAGTCGAGCAAATTCGTCGCCATTCACTCGCCCGTTGAAATTGCGACAGACGTATTTAAATTTGAATTTTACTGTTTATCTTTGTGTATTCCTACATATAGAACATGAAAACATAAAAATCTAATTCTATATGTGATTAAACAATTTACCGAGCTAGTATTGTATAATGACAGTTTATTTTTCATTTTTATCATACGATTACATTGAATCGGTACACTTTAATTGCGATTAGGGCTATTGATCGTACCTTTAATGTGGTTCACTAACATTACCCAAATCACCACAATCTAATCTAGTAAAGTAATATTACAGGTAAATATTGTTGAATTACCTCAATATTATTCTAATATGTTACCTTTGAGCCATATAATGTATATAATATACGTAAATCTCGTGTCACGGTGTTTGTTATCGAACTCCTCCGAAACAGCATTACCGTTGTTTTTTTTATGACTTAGTGTATAACGGGAGGTTTAAAAATTGCTCGTAGGCTATTTTATATCACTAAGTGATAACGGCTCTCTCAATTTTTTTTATGTTTAGGACAGTTTTTTATAATTTGACATCAAAAAATACTGATATCCCCGAATTTTCTACTTTCTAACATTTCACCACCAACCCCTGTTTTATGGCGGTACTAAGTTCAGTGGGGCAGCTAGTTGATCTGCAAATTTTATTTTAACAGTATCAGTAAGAATTGTTTCGAATAGAGTAGATTTTTTATAGCTAGGCAGGCAAATGACTCTACCCGTACCTGATGTTATGTGGTAAAATCCGGACGCGCAGCAGCTCTGAACTGCCACACCAACCATGATTGAGTTCAATGACAAGATTCAGCCGTTTCTCTTTGGTTTCTACCTGTCTAGCTGCTGTGTGTCCGAAATATCCCGCATGCACTGTACTATCATCTGATTAACAATGAATATTCCCTAGCTAATCGATCGATTCGGCCTAAATCCGTACTGACGATCGTGGATTTCTAAGTAGCGGATCAGATGGTTATTAAGGTCCCTTTCTGAGACTTTGCACAACATTGAGGTGACAGCTATCGGCCAATAGTTAGGCCGGGTCTGAGCGATCCCTTTTTTGGTCACCGGCATCACATAGACATCTCCCCATGTCTCCCACACATGCCCCAAAGAGTACGAGAGTTGGTGCAAGCACGTAAACGCGGGAGACAACTCCGCTGCACAAGGTTTGACTGCTGGGAAGCCATCGGGTCCACTTTGCTTTGCGGACGTAGAGTCATTGCAATTCCGCACGAACATCACGCTGCTTCATTTTAATATCAGGCATCGTAGTGCCACAATGAGATAATGAAGGTGGCAGTGCATTACAATCATCGATTCGAGAGTCAGAGTTTTGCCAGTTAATCGGATTTCTCCTGCGACTTATGAGATAGTGATCCGTCTGGACATCGCAGAGATGGCAGCTAAGGTTAGCAGAAGTTGTTTCGCACGGCATTAGCCAAATGCCAAAAACCTGATGAACATAGGCTATAGAGTATTGTCAAAAAAGTTAGGGTTCCGTAAAAATTCTATAATGTAACCCAGAGTGTGAAAAAAATACCAAAAAATTACCTTATATTGCTTACGCTGCGGAAGTCATTGACAGTAGAGCAAAGTAATGTACTAAACTTTTATAGAGGAAATCAATATCTACAAAAAGTCTATCTTACCATATGTCTAACTATTACAGTTATGTCACAACTAAAGGTCCCTTGCGGTTTCACCCGCGTTAGTTTGAGGAAAAAGGTTATAGTGAGCCAAAGGAGAATGGTCATAGTACTATGGGAGTTGGGCTAAATTTTTTTTTTATTGCGTCTTATTGAAATAAGTGTTAAACAATAGGGAATCAGGTGTATATTGCGTAGGCAAAATATTATTAAAAACTTAAGTAGTGGTTTAAAGAAAATATTAAATTACGTAAGCATTTTAAGGTTATGTCATATTTAGATTCGATTTAATTCGATATTTATACCATTTATACCATATTATTACTAGGTATACTACTTTAAACTGTATTTAATTAGGTTGTGACCTTTTGTCTTATATTTTGGACTAGGAGTGAAACAAAAATTGAATGCACTGCGGAAAATCCTATCAACGGACAGCGTATATTCGTAAACTGTTGCGTTGGTGAGCTGCTACCTATCTCTATTTATTCCAAACATCTCAGATTCAATGTGGCGTTGGTGAGGTGCGGTTATATGAGTGCTATTTATACTTATTCTCTTACCGCTCAAGCTGCACCTTTGATGCTCTGTCAACCCAACAATGGATATAATATTATTTAAGGTTTAGGAATCTAAAATTAATAAGACAAAATATTTTAATAATGATACTTAATTATTTATTGATAACACATTTATCCAAATCGACATTATACATACACACTGCCAGCATTTTCTTGTCTAACACCAGATGCCATTGTAAACAAAAATAATTGCAATAAACTAGAGTCCAAATATCTCTGTCACGGAATCATTAAAAGACAATGTCGAGTCCAATTCTCTATTTCCCAAAAAACAGTCATTAACGGAGGATTACTCAACTCAAAATTAGAACTATTTTGCCACAATAGATCACTGAAAACACAAATTCAATTTTAAAAGTGAAAACTGTATGTACGTAGTAAGTCACTCGGAACAAACAAACACAACTAATCTCTTTGCAACTACTACTGGAAATAGAAGTTGACAGCTACGTTCACTTGCATATGGTATATTTCGATTCAATTCTATAGGTATCGATATCCTACACATCGATTTATAAATGTTTTATTTTTCAATGCAAATGCTTTAAATGTTCAAACCATAAGTTAATTTATATATGATTAAGTAATTATAACATAACTGATAACTTAAACAAAAATATATTCCTTTTTCTAATCTAAGAGTACTGCATACAAAAGTTTTTGTATGCGATCTATTTTGATGAACAAAATAGTCCGCAGACAAAAATTCCTCTTTTGCGCAGCCCATTAAGTTCCTTTTAATTTTTTAGACGCAATGAAAGAGGACAATCCCTGGTACAGTGAGATAGTCACAATACAGGTCTTGCATCTGTAAGTTATCATCTGATAACTTCATGAATTTAATGTTATTTATCATGATATAATATTGGTAAAAATGAACGAACGGGAGTTGAGTGGGGGATATAAGCAAGAGAAAGCAGTGTGCGCTCACATTTTCTTTCTCTCTTTCAGTAGTCGTGTGGTCATATATATTTAAATAAAGAAATATAATCGATTTTTTTTTCCTACGATAGTATCGACTAGGTGATACAACTTTTGTCTATGGTTATATGGTCTATTCTGTGGTAAAAAATTTATTCAGTTTAATAGCCATTTATTTATTAATTTAAAAATCCGCTTAGTATTTAAATAATAATCACACATATGAAATGATAATTCAGGAGAAGATTTTTGATACATAAATGCGTCAAGCGCAATCTAGACGGATTTGCCCATTCTCCTTTAAAAGATGAGTATATGCTTATAGAACTTTTAAAAGAGAACAATTCCGCCGTACGTGGTTTTTGTGTAACTTTAAGAATTTACGCAGCGCACGCAACGGAAGCTCAGAAATGGAGTATTTTTTCCATGTTTTTGCAACATTTTACATCGATGATCCGCTCCTACTGGTCGCAGCGTAATGTCATATAGCTTTAATCCTTCCTCTTAATCCTTCCTCAATAAATGCACTATCTAACACAAAAAGATTTTTCAAATCGGACCATTAGTTCCTGAGATTTGCGCATTCAACCAAAAAAAATGTACGCATTCGGTACAACGGGTCCTAAAGTACGCAACAAAATTTTCGGTATCAGTAATTTTTTTTTTTATGGAAGGGTAATAATTATACACAGAAATTCATTGTGTAATAAACAAACCTGAGAGAAAACCTATAGTCTACCTACACTACAGCTCTACACAGAAGCGAAGAGAGGACGGGCCACTAGTGAGTTAAAATTTACTTAAAGATGTAGGTACTGTTACAATACCTTTTATTCTAGGTATATAGAGATCGAAATATGCTTAAACGTCATCGCCATTAGCAGATCATTCCCACTTTTTATAAGTAATGACGGTTTGTAAAATGTAATGACGACAGTAGAAAAATGTAGTTACTTATAAACTGAGTTATAACAATTAAATGCCAATAGTCATTTAAATGCACTGCTATTCTACTCGGTTGACGAACAATTAGGATGATAACTTCAGTTGTTATTTTACCCAAAACGTCTTATATGCAAAATGCCCAAAATAATAGAAGCACCCCACGTTGGAGGCCAGGTGCGATGGTAGTCAATGGTAGCGATAAATCCATAACTATTCAGCTTTAAATTGTATTCCGAAAATAGTAAACTGCTTTAAGATTTCTGCTGGACTGACATTATAAATACTTTTGATAGATCAACCTTCGATCAACAATTCTATAGATAACGGGTTGCATACACAATCAAAGCTAAAAACGGTCCGCGTGTTAAAACTTATGCAGCTACATTCGATTCCC